TGGAGGCCGTGTTATAGGAGGCCATGTTTGAGGCCGTGGTACAGAAGGCCATGTTTGAGGCCGTATTATAGAAGGCCATGTTCGAGGCCGTATTATAGAAGGCCATGTTTGAGGCCGTGTTATAGGAGGCCATGTTTGAAGTTGATGCATATAGCTGCCAGCTGTGTGCAGCTCGAATGTGCCTGATAAAAAAGCAGCGATATAGTATTTAATTTGCTAAACTATATTTTGATTTTAATACTAATGAAGTAAGTTCAATCAGCAACATGATTAATTCAGATGCAAATAAACAATAATTCGAGTCACAACCAAATCTTTCATTTGTAATTCTTCTTTATGGATATTATCCTATTTTTCAACAAATAAAATAATGAATTTGCTAGTAAACAATTGTGATTTATCGATTGATAATTAACAGTTCATCTCAATTTTTATCGACACAAAAAGTTTTTGGCTAATTTTTCTCTGGAAATTCGGCTGGAAATGTTTTGCCCGAACCACAAATGCAAGCGTTTGCTTCATCGCCCAGGGGTCCAAGTCCGAAACTTGGACGAATATTCCTCGCTGTTGACGGTGGCTCAGTTGACAGAAGCTCACGCCGGCAACTACACGTGCACAGCCGTCAACCCTGTCCGTACGGTGCACTACACCGCCCGTCTAACCGTCAACGGTACCCCGTGTCACCGTCTGTTCACGAACCGTCTCGTGTGACAGGCAAAACCTTCCATTTTGAATGATGATTATCACTCTGGAAGCAGCGAGCTGGGGTTGAATTCAACATAGAGTAGCAAATTCAAACTCTTATTAGGATATTGATTAACGAAGCTTGTAATTATTTTAAAATTATTCTTGAGCTGAAAACGTTTGTCAAAATTTCACTAGCGTTGTTTTAAACATAATTAATTGTCTTTCTGTGTCTTTAAAGTCGATTGAAGCATTTACTTTATTGTATGTATTCATAATTTCTGCGCATGAGCAAATGCACCGCATTCTTTTTCTGCTGTTCTCTAAATGCACATTTTTTCAGCACGCCTGCACATGCGCGCTTTGCTGGGCGTTCCCAACCCTATTGGCGGTAGTTGCTCATCTAAAATATTATTAAGTAAATTATTTTCATTTAATGGAAGCCAATGATCGTTAATTAGAAAAATGAAGTCAAGCTTCATCATTCAAACGTAACAATGTGGAGTATTTGCCGCTAATAGGATTGGAATGCTTCATTTCCTGGGAATTTCCGTCTTCACGTTCTTTACGAATGTTATAGCACAGTTTATTAATTGAATGAACGAATCTGTACATTTAATGTTTATGAAGTTTTACTAAAATGTATAAAATGCATCCGCTAACTTTAATTCTATTTACAGCATCTGTGAGCATGCGCATGTTATTAGTATCTTAAATCTAACAAAAGATTTTATCAGGATCTTCAACAGTTTCTTCTGTTTCTTCAACAATTACTGGCAACTCAAGGGTGGCTCACTCCCAGCCACCTCAACTCCTCCAATTATTTTAAAATGGGGAGATGGCAGCCCCGGAGGGAGGGGAAGCATTTTTCCCAACTCTGAGACGTAAATGCATCTTAGAATGGATCCGGCAAACGCAAAAATTATTTCCCTTGTTTCCAAACAGTTCCACTCTCTGTCAGTCCATTCGCGATGGGGGAAGTGAAAGAAGGGGACCGAGTGCAAGCGATGTGCTCTATCAGAAGAGGTGATCCACCCTTCACAGTCACGTGGTGGAAAGATGGAAGATCACTGAACAAGTTTCGCCGACGTCGTCAAAATGATGATATTCAGGAAGAAGTTGGATACGAGGACATGGGCCAATCATCTGGAATCGATGAGGGTGTATATGTGAGAGGTATACGAGGTTCCCGTGTGTGTGAGGGAGGGGGTTAAGAGACCAGCTCCGTGTGAGAGGTATACGAGGTTCCCGTGTGTGTGAGGGAGGGAGTTTTAGAGGCCAGCTCCGTGTGAGAGATATACGAGGCTCCATGTTAAGGATGGAAAACATATCATTTTAAAGTCTGAGTTTGACCATCATTTTGCCTATCATGCATAGTGCTTGGCTGATTAGTTTTAAATTATATGCTGTTTTTGCTTATATATTATTCTCCTCTATGTGCTGGTACACTCGTGGGACGCAGGCTTTCTTTTTGTTTCCTTCCCCTGGGTGGGGCAGCGAAGCCTCACCTTCCAAATATGCGGGTGTTGTGGGGTCGTGTCTACTATATAGAGATTATGTCGACACGGTGGTGTTGGAACGTGGTGGAGTTGGGATATGGGAGGGTTGGCACGTGGTGAGGTTGAATAGTTTTTCCTCCATCTTTCGTGTCCCCAGTTGATCCTCGGTACTAAGCTAATCGTTGGGCTGGTCCTGATATTGAAAAAATGTTACTTAGCCTGGCGTTGCCCAGGCTTGATAAAACTGCAATTTTGGAATCCAGTTATCCCTGATAACATCACTGTGGAAATCCACAATTTTCTTTAGTAACAATAAAGCTTGCTTATTTTAATTAAATAGGGGCTGCTTTTACCCTATTTTACATAGAATGATGGATTTCTATTTTACTCTCGTTTCAGAATATGGAACACACTATTTTCAAGCCTCTTGAATTAAATTCCTATTCACCACATGCAAAATCATACCGAATTAAACCATTCGTCATTTAGTCACTTTTCAACCATTTTACCTTGGTGACCAGTCAATCCAAGTATCGTGGTAGTTTTCGTTTTTCCAAGCCAGCACTGATGGTGCGTGGCGTATCATAGCTACGCTGATTGGTGATCACGAACCTGTGATGAATAATTAAGGCATCCCGCACATTCACACCCAGTGTTGCTGTAGACTAAAACACTTAGGATATAACTATTCTGGTGGTGTATGCAACGTTGAGTCTTTGTATGGGTTGTAGAAACGGCCGCAAACTTCATATGATATGCACATTTTTCATCATAAATTTATAATTAAAATTTTTTCGCATGCTATTTTTCATATAAAACACATGCATGTTTACAAATTTTTTTTCTTAGCCGTGAAAATAAATAATTTTTCAACCCTTTCAATATGGGAAGAATATCTATGACTGTTTTCATGTATTTACTAGGAATGAAAACAGAAAAACTAGGTGAAAAATTATGAATGAAGCTGAAACTTTTTGTAGCTTTCTTAGCCTTTCGAAATTTTATGGAAAACTTTTTTTACGACGTTATTTTCAAAAAACAATTATTAAAAAAATTTTCTGTGTGAAGAATTTTTCGTCGTTATACCAGCTTTTTACCTGTTAGAACGACAAATTCACCGAAAAAGTAACCTGTTATCATTTTAATAAATGATTCCTAAATTCAAGAAAGGTTATTCTCACTTTTCATTATTAATCATTTGATGAATCGAGTTAGCAGTGAATTTGGAAAGTGTGAATTTTGGATTTGTTTCCTCCGAAGTCAAACTTCTGAGAACAATTTTTTTGACAACAAAAAAGAAGGAACATAAAATCTTTCAAAAGATCCTAACTTGCAACACTATTGTCATGAATTTATATATAATCAACACGCCTATGTAGAGCATATGTATTTTTCTTTTAAATTCACAAGTAATTATTCTAAAAGTTTATTGAACAAGACAACAGGAACAATATTAATGACTTGCTTGCAGTTCCCCCTCGGTGGGTGAGGCAGCCCCAGGATACTACCTCCACCGTGGGGAGTTGGCTGGAGCTCCCCTGTGGGGCCCATGGACGTCCCCAGCCCAGCATCACCTGGACCAAAGCAGGTGGGGAGCTGGGGGATTGGAGGCAATTGAGGCTGCTGCAGGATTGGTAGTTCACATGGAAAACTAAGCGCTATTGCAAGAAAAGTTCTGGAAACAATCTTGCCAGCTCAACTGATTGCTCTACTTATGGTTCACTAACTTTAACTAATCTATAGTTCTCTATTGTTCTCTAACTTTAACTAGTTCTATAGTTCTCTCTCTCTATAGTTCTCTATTGTTCTCTAACTTAAAGTAGTTCTATAGTTCTCTCTCTCTATGGTTCTCTATTGTTCTCTATCTTTAACTAGTTCCATAGTTATCTCTCTCTAAAGTTCTCTATTGTTCTCTAACTTTAACTAGTTCTATAGTTCTCTCTCTCTCTCTCTCTATAGTTCTCTAACTTTAACTAACTGCTCTCCGTATGGAGCAATAGTTCCATAGCACTATAACTTTAGGTCCTTTTGCCTGGTAACGAAAGCTACCATCAGAAGACCGTTGCCGCAACACAGGCGCTCTTGTCATCCATGACACTTGGGAGGACACGGAACATGAAATATTGCCAGCGTTTCAGTAGATATGCTTCTGTTTAACGGTTACACCAGCCAGCCAGTACTATGATGTGCTTGTAATTTCGTTCCTTTATGAACTATTTCTGTTTTGCTGCCCAGGGTCCGGCCTCCCAATACCCACGACGCCCCCCGTCACAACGGCAGGGCCTCACCTTAGCGGGCCACAGTGGCGGGGCCTCCCTAGGGCGGTGTACCCCAACGGGTCGCTGATTTTCCAGAGCCTGGTCCTAGAGGACGCGGCCTCCTACACCTGCGAGGCGCGCAGTGAGGGCGGGAGCCTCAGCGCCTCCCTCAACCTTAGAGTTAATGGTGTGTGGGTGCAGCAATAATTCCAGCCTCTTTATACGGAACAATAAATAATATAATAACATCTGATGTGAGCCTTGTGAGTAATAACATATCTGACCAACATATTAACAATAACATATCTGACCAACATATCAACAATAACATATCTGACCAACATATCAACAATAACATATCTGCCCAAAATATCAACAATAGCATGTATGCCCAAAATACCAACAATAACATGTCTGTCCAACATACCAACAATAACATGTCTGCCCAACATACCAACAATAACATGTCTGCCCAACATACCAACAATAACATGTATGCCCAACATACCAACAATAACATACCAACAATAACATGTCTGCCCAACATACCAACAATAACATGTATGCCCACCACGTCACAGCTCCGCCGCAGTTCGACACGTCACCACCGTCTCGCGTGACGTCACGTCGCGGGGCCAGCGTCACGCTGACGTGCGCCGTCACGGGCGACCCTCCCCTGACGGTGGGGTGGGCGCTCCCCCCCTCCTCCCCCCGGGCACACCAGCTCCCCCATCTCAGGTGCCTTGTGAATAGATATTTATAATTCATTTTTATGCATTTATAAATAAACTTTATATAGTATCAGGCGACGTGTAGTATTACAACTTGCGTATTGTAACGTGTGTATGAGTAAATAAAGCACTGTTCCATTATTAACGTCCCATATTTATTTCAGCGACATATATGTCATTATATTTTTATTAAGGAGTATCTTTTAAACAAATATATCAAATTAGCACATAAATGGAAGTATATTTATTTCTACATTTATGAAAAAATGTCACATTGTCCATCTATTGTCAATAAATTCCTCAATGCTTAAGAATATCCTCAGAAGTTACCAGCAAAGAGAATTTTTCTATAGATTTATCAACCGGACGTAATTATTCATTTCGTATCCTAGTGCAGTGCCATAATGATTTTGTTAAAATAGTTTACATATAATTAATCTGTACACGTGCCCGGGTTGGGGGCAGCTCGGTGCGGGAGGTGGGGGGGCGCGGGGGGCAGGTGCAGGCGACGCTGCGGTTGCCGCTCGTCGCGCTCGACGACGCCGGCGACTACGCGTGTAACGCGCGTAATGCGCACGGCGACCGCACCTTCCTCGTCACGCTCATCGTCGCCGGTATGTCGTTATTGATCGTTACATATATTATTATAGCATAGTTGTACGCTAGTTCATTTGCATTATTATTTTGGACGTAGAATATTATTACGCTGAATATTGACCAACTAATTTAAACTAATGCAATGGATGCGCTACGATAGACTAAAAATCTTACTTCTCTTTATATTTGGACCAGTTTTGTAGCATTAACTTTTAAGTCGTTACTTATTAATTATTGTATTCGTGTGATTTGTATATATTCAGTTAGTTACATAATTAGAGTTTACCATAGTTCCATAGCTATAATAGTTCACCATGGAACAATGATCCGCTTACGCTTGATATTCCTCTCAACAAGCACCCTGCTGTGATCCTTGCCTTGTCAAATATTCTGCTGATACTAAATACCTAATACCTGATTATGAACACAACTGGACACTAGCAAACGGGGACACCAGCCAACCGCTGGCCGATCCACTTGCTTCCCAAAGCTCCCGGTTTCCTTATAAATCTGTCCTCGGCCGACAGCTGAGGGTTTTTATCTGTCATGTTTTATCATAAATATGTCCTTGTTCTCCTGACAGCTGAGGGTTTTTATCTGTCATGTTTTATCAGAGACCAAAACCAGGCTATTCAATATTCAACAATACTACGAAAACGTTTTCACTAATCTAAGGCAATATCCCTGCGCATTTGACTTGGTTCGTTTTATCTACCACGAGGAATCCTATATAGGTATGCGTGGTATACCGATTCAAGGAGAATGGATAGCAGAACGAACGCTCATCTTAAAATAGCATAAAAGTCGCACGCTTCACGAACAATGTCAAGTTTTTATTATAACCCGAAAATAGTTGTAATACCGAAAATAGTTGTAATACAAATTTGAAATAAGTTATCCCAATGTCCACAGTTCCAAAATAAGTCGCTGGAATATTATTTAAAATTTTAGACTAATATCATATTTATCACACTATCATGCCGCGGCTGACAACGCTCTGGATCACGCGTCTAATGCACACTCAGATGCTTTTTTAGAGCCTCTGGATCTCGGACGGACTAGACTGGCTCCTGTCACTTTTTCACTCGCCATGTTCAACTTAACCCCACTTCTAAATGAGATGACAATTTAATTTTTTTCACGCCTACATAGGTACATACTCTCCACTGATCGGTAAACCCGGAATTTATGCTTCTGCTTCCTCGTTGTAGAAATTTTTCGCCAAAATTTATGTTAAAATGACCATGTTTGCTCGTGGAGTATGAATCTTGAAAACTAACATTTCCGATGAGAGCGTTGTGGAAGGTATGAGGAAACTCGGACGTCGTAAATTAATTAAGGCTGGTAGTCAGAATGCAGCGAAGTCGAGAGCAAGTTTTTCGCGACCATCGTGTGAAATCCTTGATCTGCCCGGAGCTCGGCCAATCGCTACCCTCGAGCTTGTACTCTTTGTAATATGATATCCTAGCCAGACACTTTTCCGCGGCAACTGGTCGCTTTCAGGCGGCCGAGGAATGGCCAGCGGTCGGCTAAAACTAATTGGACTAGGCCGACCACTGGAAACGTATTATTTACAAAGTTTACATATTTCTTGTTCCTAGTCACCGTTTATAAACAAATAGCTGGCTAAGCATGGAATAATCCATATCGCCATCTCATTTACGAGTGGAGTAAAGTTCAGCCTAATTTGTGAAGAAACTCATAGGGAAGAGCCGAGCCTGTTCGGAGCCTCGCGGTTCTCAATCAGAGCCTTAAGGTTTGTATTCAAAGCCGCCCGAACTCCACAGCGAGCTTGCTCGAGTTTGCTGCCGAGCCGCGTGAGGGTTGGTTATCTTACGTCTGATAATGGAAGTGGACAACTGCGTTTAAATATCGACAATCATAATATTAGATGAGGAGATAAATGTGGTGGTGAACGAACGACAGGGTGAGCCTTCTAATTGGGGACAGCAGGAGGCCATGTTTGAGGCCGTGGTATAGGAGGCCATGTTTGAGGCCGTGGTATAGGAGGCCATGTTTGAGGCCGTGTTATAGGAGGCCATGTTTGAGGCCGTGGTATAGGAGGCCATGTTTGAGGCCGTGTTATAGGAGGCCATGTATGAGGCCGTGGTACAGAAGGCCATGTTTGAGGCCGTATTATAGAAGGCCATGATCGAGGCCGTATTATAGAAGGCCATGTTTGAGGCCGTGTTATTGGAGGCCATGTTTGAGGCCGTGTTATAGAAGGCCATGTTTGAAGTCGATGCATAGCTGCCAGCTGTGTGCAGCTCAAATGTGCCTGATCAATAATCAGCGATATAATATATAATTTGATAAACTATATTTTGATTTTAATACTAATGAAGTAAGTTCAATCAGCAATATGATTAATTCAGATGTAAATAAACAATAATTTAAGTCACAACCAAATCTTTCATTTGTAATTCTTCTATATGGATAGGGTAACATGGGGCAGCGAGCCCACTGCGGGTCATGGGCCCATAGCGGGTTTCTCGCTAAGTATGGCAGATATTGGTCCGTGTTCTCTACCGCCGGTCGACAGTTTCACTGGGATGAAGTGTACGGATTTACGTTTTGCTAANATTGGCGGTAGTTGCTCATCTAAAATATTATTAAGTAAATTATTTTCATTTAATGGAAGCCAGGGATCGTCAATTAGGAAAAATGAAGTCAAACGTACGAGCTGTATCATTCAAACGTAACAATATGGAGTATCTGCCGCTAATAGGATTGAAATGCTTCACTTCCATGGGAATTTCCGTCTTCACGCTCTTTACGAATGTTGAGCACAGTTCATTAATTAAATGAACGACTCTGTCCGTTCCATGTTTATGAAGTTTCACTGAAATGTATAAAATGCATCCGCTAACTTTAATTCTATTTACAGCATCTGTGAGCATGCGCATGTTATTAGTATCTTAAATCTAACAAAAGATTTTATCAGGATCTTCAACAGTTTCTTCTGTTCCTGCAACAATTACTGGCAAATCAAGGGTGGCTCACCCCCAGCCACCTCAACTCCAATTTTAAAATGAGATCACAGACCCGGAGGGAGAGGAAGCATCTTTCCGAACTCTGAGGCGTACATGCATCTTAGAATGGATCAGGCTAACGAACAAACGATTTCCCTTGTTTCCAAACAGTTCCACTCTCTGTCAGTCCATTCGCGATGGGGGAAGTGAAAGAAGGGGACCGAGTGCAAGCGATGTGCTCTATCAGAAGAGGTGATCCACCCTTCACAGTCACGTGGTGGAAAGATGGAAGATCACTGAACAAGTTTCGCCGACGTCGTCAAAATAATGATATTCAGGAAGACGTTGGATACGAGGACATGGGCCAATCATCTGGAATCGATGAGGGTGTATCTTCGAAACTCGACGGTTACGACTTATTCCTAGAAACCCATAAAATGAGTACATCTTTTCGACAAAACATGGCTTTGGCTGCTCCACGTATGCCGGAAATTGAACTCTCTCGCAATTCAACTTTTCGATTGAAACCACAAGTCGGAGAGCCTCGGACTCCACATTCTCGACTGATGTCTAAAGTTGAAATACCTTGGACTTTATCTTCCCGAACGATGCCAGAAGTTGAAGCACTTCATACTTCATCTTATCGAATGATGCCAAAAGTTGAAGCACTTCATACTTCATCTTATCGAATGATGCCAAAAGTTGAAGCACTTCATACTTCATCTTACTCGAATGATGCCAAAAGTTGAAGTACGCCAAATTGATGAGTTTTCATCCCTGCTGATTATATCAAAAGCTGTGGAGCTGCACTCGGGCAACTACACCTGCCGGGTCAGCAATGAGGTGCAGACGGCCTTCTTCACCGCTGAACTCCGTGTGAGAGGTACACGAGGTTACCGTGTGTATGAGGAAGTAGGGTTAAGAGACCAGCTCCGTGTGAGAAGTACACGAGGTTCCCGTGTGTGTGAGGGAGGGGGGTTATGAGACCAGCTCCGTGTGAGAGGTACACGAGGTTCCCGTGTGTGTGAGGAAGTAGGGTTAAGAGACCAGCTCATTGTGAGAGGTATACGAGGTTCCCGTGTGTGTGAGGGAGGGGGTTAAGAGACCAGCTCCGTGTGAGAGGTATACGAGGTACCCGTGTGTGTGAGGGAGGGGGTTAAGAGACCAGCTCCGTGTGAGAGGTACAGGAGGTTCCCGTGTGTGTGAGGGAGGGGGTTAAGAGACCAGCTCCGTGTGAGAGGTATACGAGGTTCCCGTGTGTGTGAGGGAGGGAGTTTTAGAGAGGTGCGGGAGGTGGGGGGGCGCGGGGGGCAGGTGCAGGCGACGCTGCGGTTGCCGCTCGTCGCGCTCGACGACGCCGGCGACTACGCGTGTAACGCGCGTAATGCGCACGGCGACCGCACCTTCCTCGTCACGCTCATCGTCGCCGGTATGTCGTTATTGATCGTTACATATATTATTATAGCATAGTTGTACGCTAGTTCATTTGCATTATTATTTTGGACGTAGAATATTATTACGCTGAATATTGACCAACTAATTTAAACTAATGCAATGGATGCGCTACGATAGACTAAAAATCTTACTTCTCTTTATATTTGGACCAGTTTTGTAGCATTAACTTTTAAGTCGTTACTTATTAATTATTGTATTCGTGTGATTTGTATATATTCAGTTAGTTACATAATTAGAGTTTACCATAGTTCCATAGCTATAATAGTTCACCATGGAACAATGATCCGCTTACGCTTGATATTCCTCTCAACAAGCACCCTGCTGTGATCCTTGCCTTGTCAAATATTCTGCTGATACTAAATACCTAATACCTGATTATGAACACAACTGGACACTAGCAAACGGGGACACCAGCCAACCGCTGGCCGATCCACTTGCTTCCCAAAGCTCCCGGTTTCCTTATAAATCTGTCCTCGGCCGAGAGCTGAGGTTTTTTATCTGTCTTGTTTTATCATAAATCTGTCCTCGTCCTCCTGACAGCTGAGGGTTTTTGACAGGCTGATACAAGGCTATTCAATGATCAACAATAACAAGAAAACTTTTTCACTAATCTACGGCAATTTCACTGCGTATTTGGCTTGGTTAGTTTTGTCTACCACGAGGAATCCGATTTAGGAATGCGTGGTATACCGATTAGTGGAGAATGGATATAGTATAACGGACGCTCATATTAAAATAACATAAAAGTGGCACGCTTCACGAACAATGTCAAGTTTTTATTGCAACCCGAAAATAGTTTGAATACAAATTTGAAATATGTTATCTCAATGTTCAGAGTTCACAAATAAGTCTCTGGAATATTACTTAAAATTTCAGACTACTATCTTATTTCCGAATGGAGTTATTTAGGAAAATTTAGTTAAGGAATTCCATAGGAAATAATTCGGCCCGTGTGGCAGCTGGCGGCGGTGATGCGCACGCTCTTGATCACGCGCCTAATGCACACTCAGGTGCATTTTTGGAGCCGCTTGATCTCGGATGTGCTTGGCTGGCTCCTATGTTATTTTTTCACTCACGAGGTTCACCTTAACTTCACTTCTGAATGAGATAACAATAGCTGATTTTGTTTCATGCCTACATATAGGTATTAATCTACGATCTGTGCATAGTGACTAAAAATCTATAAACTATGAATTAAAACAGTTATGATGAATAAAAATTTTGTACGTTAAGGTTTTTGAATTATTGTGCGACGTGTTGTATTGATTTTACTATTTATTCTCGACTGATCGGTAAACCCGGAATTTCTGCTTCTGCTTCCTCGTTATAGATATTTTTCTCCAAAAATTATGTTAAAATGTCCATGTTTACACGTGGAGTAAGAATCTTGAAAACTAACATTTATGATGAGAGCGTTGTGGAAAGTATGAGGCGACATAAATTACGCCGTAAATTACTTAAGGCTGGTGGTCAGAGTGCGGCGAAGTCTGAAGGCGAGGTATCGCGACCACGATGTGGAACCTTCGTTCTCTTGTCAGATCGGCAAGTAGCTACCCACGAGGGTTCCTGCAATCTCTGACGAGGGAAAAGACCTGAACGAGATGGGAGTAGATAGAGCTGGCCAGCTGTCGGCTGAATCCAATTAGATCTAGCCGACCTCGGCCCCATGAAAACCACCCTTTGCTAGAAAATTTGTGTAACGGCAGATTTCACCTTACAAAGCCTACACGCTCGAGAGTAGGAACTTGTCAATCTTAGGATCCTGCAAGGATTTCACACCGTGGTCCTCGCAATAGACGATCCTGCTCTCAGACTCAGAGCACTCTGACGACGCGCCGTAATGCTTTAGGAGTGCAAGGGTGACGTTCCGTCTTTTGCTTAGGCCGTGCCTAAGTCGAGGCGCCTACATTTAATAAATAAGACCAAAGAGAAAATGTTAAAAAATATGTACAAGCTTGCCACTAATATAAATATATATAAGTGGTATATATATGAGTGCTTTTTGTTTGCGTTAAGCGCCAAGTCGACATAATACTACGAATGATTTCTGACGTCACACAGATGTTCCACCCGCTCCCCACGGATTACGAATCACGGCCCGTGGGTCCCGTGACGTCACGGTTGCCTGGTTTGGGGATTCAGGGTCCCCAGCACAAGGCAGTACACCATCAGGTTATACACCAGCAGGGACCACTGCACCTGGAGGCTCAGATCAGATCACCAGCACCAGGTTCACAGTGCACATCATACCCCAGACAGGTGGGTGCCACCTTGTTTCTTACTGATCAATTTCCATGCATTTATGATCATTCAGTAAATGATTCAGTCAACTAAAGCGCGGAATCAATGGTTAACACACGCTGGCCATTCATTGCCGATTGGTAGCCGTCGAGGGTGGTGCTTTCAGCATGGTTTTGAATGGTTCCTCAAAACATACTCTGGGTAAGAAATTGGGTGGATCTTGAGGCCTTATTAGAACAGCGCCAACGCTACGCTTCAACTACGGCACTGTTCATCCTGTTTTCATTATTCATCATATCATTTCTAACTAACAAAATTACAATAATTAAATTCTCAGAAAAGTTCCAAATAAAATAGATTGATAGTTACACTCCACGTGCTCAGGCCCCTCTACGCCACGCATCATGCCGGAATTATCTTATTAAGCGTCATTGTATTCCAACTATAATGAGGTATTATTGGGCTACTTCTTACTATAATGAGGCAATTATATTCCCCACGCTTCATACTATAATAAGGTGATTATCGGCCCTCTCGCTTCCTACCGTAACGAGGTAATATATGAGTCTCTTGCTTCATGCTATATTAAGGTAATTACGGGCCTCTCATTAATCTCACTTCCCGCAGACGCTTGGGACGATGAGGCCTTGAACTCTGCGTTGAATGGCGGGGCGCTGCAGCCCTCAGGTGGGCCAGGGATGCCCTCAGGTGGGTTCAGCGTTGAGGTGGTGGGCACCAACACCGCCCACCTCACCCACCTGCAGCCCGCCCACAACTACCTGCTCAGGGTGACAGCAATCAACGACGTCGGGTCGTCTCCGCCGTCAGAAGCGCTGCAGGTTTGACGTGAATTCGTTTACTTTTTTCTCTGCATCAGCAACATAGAAAAATGAACATTTTTTCGGTTTTCAACTTTAAATTAAGTTTTGAAAATTTTGCTGTGTATGCTTTAAAACGTTCCAGAACATTTAGGACAAATATTTAAATAGAATTGTCACGCCCGCAATATTATCGCGCTGATTAATTTACTTCACAGCTCTAGGTAGGGATAAATTTATCCATTGTTCTTTTTTTTTTATTTTTGCACGCAATGGCAATTCCTCTGGCAATTTTGTTATTTTCATTTTAAGACAACTAGGCCATCTATTCTGTCCACTCCCCTGGTCAATCGCATTATTAGGAAATTCTTCGCCCTTGGGCAGGTGAGGACGCTGGGGGAGGCCCCGGGGGCGGCCCCTCAAGAGGTGCGGACCACCCCCACCTCCCCCACCCGCGTCCTGNCTGACGTGTGGTGTGTGGGCTGACGTGTGGTGTGTGGGCTGACGTGTGGTGTGTGGGCTGACGTGTGGTGTGTGGGCTGACGTGTGGTGTGTGGGCTGACGTGTGGTGTGTGGGCTGACGTGTGGTGTGTGGGCTGACGTGTGGTGTGTGGGCTGACGTGTGGTGTGTGGGCTGACGTGTGGTGTGTGGGCTGACGTGTGGTGTGTGGGCTGACGTGTGGTGTGTGGGCTGACGTGTGGTGTGTGGGCTGACGTGTGGTGTGTGGGCTGACGTGTGGTGTGTGGGCTGACGTGTGGTGTGTGGGCTGACGTGTGGTGTGTGGGCTGACGTGTGGTGTGTGGGCTGACGTGTGGTGTGTGGGCTGACGTGTGGTGTGTGGGCTGACGTGTGGTGTGTGGGCTGACGTGTGGTGTGTGGACTGACGTGTGGTGTGTGGACTGACGTGTGGTGTGTGGGCTGACGTGTGGTGTGTGGACTGACGTGTGGTGTGTGGACTGACGTGTGGTGTGTGGGCTGACGTGTGGTGTGTGGGCTGACGTGTGGTGTGTGGACTGACGTGTGGTGCGCGACGTTTCTTCACTATACGTTGTCATTATTATCTAACGTGACGTTTCTTCCCAAGCTCGTCCCTTGCAACGGAGTCCCGCTACGTTGTCGTGAACAGGCCTTCAACTGCCGACTTCCCCAGGGGTTCAGAACCTTTTGGGGATGCCATTGAGCCTCCAAGGCTGGACCTGGGGAGGCCAGGGGTAGTTGGGCACACATACGGGGCCAGCGTAGAGGGCCTTGAGGCCTACACGACGTACGACGTCAGGCTGCAGGCCTACAACGCCCAGGGCTTCGGGCCTCTCTCACCCGCCGTCCGCGTTACCACCGCAGAAGAACGTAAATGTTATCTATTAATGGCGCAATTTATATAAGAATGAGCATCATCCTTTCAACTATGTGATGATCAATTAACGATATTATATATAATGTAAGATAATACAAAAAAAAAATTTTCGCTGAAATGAAGAGCAATCAGTTCATGTTTTGAAATGTATTCATCATCAGCTTAGAATGTCTTAAGATGAAGACATCGATGATGGTTCCTTATTTTCGTTAGTTACTTTCATTTTAATAAAATACTTGGCATCATTTCTCAGAAAAACTGCCCCCCTCAGCCCTCTGTACTCCTCTCATAAATATTTCCCCGCCATAGCCCCTCAGACAGCTCCAGGTAGCGTCTCCTGCAGCGCCGCCCAGGCGTCGTCCTCGGCACTCACTGTCCGCTGGGCGCCTTTGAAGGAAGCCGGTGGACGAATCAACAATCACACGCGCGCTACTGTAATGACAAACAATAAAAAAACATTCCTACTCACAATACCTGAAGCGTAATGAACTCTCATGACATTCATGTCACCCAATTCTCTCAACATTCATCATGAATATAACTGTTGAATGAGGAGTTTATTCCAGATGTACATCTAGGACACAAGTTATTCTTCCTTCTCCGCTGAATGTTCTGCAGTTAGCCTTCTCTTTCCTGTACTCAATGTCGGCTGACCTCTTGTCAGCTTAGACTTCATGTCGGCTCATGTCTTGCGTTAGTCCAGACTTCGTGTCAGCCCATACCTCGTATCAGCTCATATCTTGAGTCAGCCAAGACCATGTGTCAGCCAGGACCTCGTATCTCTCTTGTGTCAGCAGATATGCAGGAGGCGCAGGTGGGGCCGTCAGAGCTGCAGCTGACAGTGAGGGGCCTGACACCCGCCAGCAACTACAGCGTCAGCGTGGCCGCTGTGTCAGCTGCTGGCCAGGGCCGCTGGGCCGCCGGCACCGTCTGCAGCACCGGCGCTGGCCGTGCGTAAACAGCCATAACCTCTCATCTCATTCTTCATGATATAAATTAAAACATGCGTATTAAATGTAATTTTCTTGGAAGTGACTAACCAGATAGGGTTCCAAAGTAATAAATTTATAATTAGTTTCCATACTAATACATTTCTTGCGCATATAAATCTATGCACACCGGCGCTCGCGCGAACGAAGGTCCGAAGAGAACATGAGGCAGAGGCCATACTTGAGCAAGGCCATATGTTGCTGCGATTTATAATTGGGTTTGGATGGGTTTAAATATCGAAGTTTCTTCTGTTACCATGCAAATGACGCTTATTTGAGTCTTTGATTTTTCTGACGTCATGAATTTCAAACGCCAGTTCAATTACTTAAAGTTATAATCACAAAAAACTCGGACTTGATTTTTTTCATCTGCAGGCACCAATTACTTCTCAATTTACTCTACATTTCGACTGTTTGGCTCCAGAAGTTTAGTTCTGTATCAGCTATGTTGCTGGCAGCTTATCTTTGAAAGTTAATAAAAATTCTGTAGCAGGCAAATTATATGATAATTAAAATCATGGCCTGCCAAATAAATGTTTAGTTACGTTGCTTGTTAATATTAACCCCGCTTTATAGGAGACCGATGAATTATCACATATCGAGCATGCATTTGTTTGTTGATACATTTGATTGCTCAACAGCGGCAAAAATATATTCATACATTTATATACGGTCAAGACTTGATTATTTATGTGAAAATAAACATTGTTTCGCTCACTCTAAATTCATCAAAGTTCGAATTTACACTTTTTAGGAACTTTATTTAAAATATTCTTACCTGCAATTGAAAGGTGAAAGTTTCCCATAATCCTCTTGTCTTCACCAGCAGTTCCCGGTCCCCCGTCGAGGTTTGGGGCGCAGCAGGCGGGTGGGCAGGCTATCTTGGTGTCCTGGCTCCCCCCTTCACCCAGGATGGGGGACATCCTACACTACACCCTCTACCACCGCCTCACTCATCGTTCCCAACCGCCAACAAGACTCACCTTGCACACCTCAAGGCTCTCATCCACCCACACTCTCACCCACACCCTCAGCCCACTCGAGCCTGGCACCCATGAGGTGTGGATGACGGTTCAGTCACCCATGGGGGAAGGGCCCGCGTCACCCTCCCTCAGAGTGCTGCTTCACCCAGATGCGCGTAAGTCCAACGTAAGCGAATTTATGAGACATTTTTTTATGTAATCCTTCAATAATGTTTCTAATTTAATCCGTTTTATAGATATATTGTCTCTACCTTGTAAACTCCACAACTTCATGAAGGCCTCGGAAGTAGCAGTTAAAATCAAAGATACTCTAAAATTTGAGGCCCAGTCCAGTTTCCAGAAAGCCACGCGGACTTGAATTTGACTTGAATATTTCCAAGCGGACTTGAATTTGAAACACTAAAATTTAAAGCCCAAACAAGTTCTCAGAGAGCCACGCAGAATTGGCAACGCTGAACACCGAACAAAATGTATTTAATTTCATATATACATCGCCGCCTCAAATTCGGCTTGACGGTTTAGGGTATGACTTAGCTAAATGCGTGGTGCTTTTTTGCAAATGAAACCGTTTTTCTAGTGCGGTCGAAATTAATTTTATTGCATTGTTTTGGTTTGCAAATAGTGTTAAGATTGGTTATTGATACTTGACAAGAAGTTGAAGCTTTATATCATTTGATAATGAAAAATAAATGATTGCATCTTGACATTGATCTTGACCTACAAGTTGAAGCTTACGGGCATTCTTTTACCCACTGCATTATTTCTCTTAAGCGATCATTAATCACCGTCACTAATTTATCACCCATAACACAGCCCGCTGGAATGAATTGTGTTCAATTAATACTAATCTGGAGGTAAAATAAAAATTTGGCAACAAACGCCTTACGCCAATGTGAACGAAAAAAAAATTATCAACAAATGAAGTTCGTTAAGCAGCACAGTGTGTTAACAAATAAAGTTTTTAATGGAATGGTGTCTTCATAAATAAAGTTTATTCACAAATGTAGTTTACTAAACCAATAAAATATTTGTTAAAAAAAGGTTAGTTAAAAAATAACGTTTGTTAAAAAAAACGTCTGTTAAAAAATAACGTTTGTTAAAAAAACGTTTGTTAAAAAATATGTTTATTAACAAATAATGCTTGTTAACAAATAATGCTTGTTAAAAAAACAAAGTTTGTTAAGATTATAGTTAACGCAAAGCCCTTGCCCCGCCAGCCCGGCGCTGGAGCGTGGCGTCGTTCGGCCAGCGGGTGGCGGTGCAGCACCGCGACGACGTGAGCCTGCAGTGCCTGCTGGTGTCAGCGGGACAGCCTGCCACTGACAGGGCCAAGACCCTGCCTTCCTGGGCCTACGCTGGGCGTCCTCTGGCCCTGGGCGGCAGGTAAGAGGATACGTGATCACCACTTAACAGGCTGGGTGGCAGGTAAGAGGATACTTGATCACCACTTAACAGGCTGGGTGGCAGGTAAGAGGATACGTGATCACCACTTAACAGGCTGGGCGGCAGGTAAGAGGATACGTGATCACCACTTAACAGGCTGGGCGGCAGGTAAGAGGATACTTGATCACCACTTAACAGTTAGCCTGGGCGGCAGGTAAGAGGATACGAGATCACCACTTAACAGGCTGGGCGGCAGGTAAGAGGATACGAGATCACCACTTAACAGGCTGGGCGGCAGGTAAGAGGATACGTGATCACCACTTAGCCTGGGCGGCAGGTAAGAAGATACGTGATCACCACTTAACAGGCTGGGCGGCAGGTAAGAGGATACGAGATCACCACTTAGCCTGGGCGGCAGGTATTTCAAGGAACCGAAATATAGTTCTATTTTCTCGTGGCTTTAGAATAATTAAACATTTATTTTACTTTATAAAGTTGTAGAGAAAATTTTAAATAATTTAAACTAACCTCAGGTTTGCCATGACCGGGGACGGCACATTGGTCATACGTCAGGCTGCGCCTCATGACTCTGGCAACTACACGTGTGACGGCAGCGACGCCACTAGCGCCACCTACTCCCTGCTGGTCCAGAGTCTGTCCAATGATCACCACTTAACAGGCTGGGCGGCAGGTAAGAGGATACGTGATCACCACTTAACAGGCTGGGTGACAAGTAAAAGGATACGTGATTACCCCTTAAGAGGATACGTGATCACCACTTAACAGGTTGGGCGGCAGGTAAGAGGATACGAGATTGTCATAACCTCGTGAGAACATTTTTTACGTAGAAATATCCATTTCCTCGTTAAAACCTCAAGGCTAAACTTCTTCCTCTGTAATTTAATATTTTTAATTTTTTCATCTTTATTATGCATCACAAATATACAATGCTATCTGAATAATCTACCTTTGTGACAAAACAGCGAAACCAGCCAGTACAAATTGGCAGAGATAAATTGATATTAAGTCTTTACCTAAAATTGGAATTAACCGAGAAGTATCTTGACAGTCAAACCTCTGAGAGTTTTCGTCAACTCTTTATTCAACTTTTTATTTTATTTTCGCCCACATTTTACTTCTTTACAACGAATGCTATCGTTAGCTTACAAAAAGGAAGAAAAATTTACTGCACATGGGAAGTGAAGCTAAAATATTTCCAGTGAATTGCCACTTACGTTTATTCTCCTGTTTTCAATATCATCGTACGTCAGGCAACCTTTCGTTCTCGAGCTCCAAGCTCGAGAACGAATGATTCCAAGGAACCTAAATATCATTCAATTTTATTGTGGCTTTAGGAAAAGTATTCATTATTTTATTTTATAAAGTTTTTGGGAATAATTTAAATAATTTGAGCTAACATCAGGTTTGCCATGACCGGGGACGGCACTTTGGTCATACGTCAGGCAGCGCCTCATGACTCTGGCAACTACACGTGATGAATAATCAGTGAGCATTTTTTCATTCTTTCCGTAGTTGTTTATAATCAATGTATCATACGCAAATGAGCACCTGCCTATTAGTTTTAACTTTTTTGCCTCGTTAAGCAAATCTGTGTTGAATTCCCCTATAACGTGCCATTAGATAATTCATTCTGAGCATACGTAGAATTTGCCTTTATTTTCACTGATGTGCGTTCATTTAAATTTGTCTAGAAGGCTCATTGGAATGGCATGCCATTGTTTTGTATCTCGACCCAATTCATTTTCAACAAAAAAAAGAATACCTCTGCTTACATTGGATAATTTGTTGGTTTCAATACACGAACTCATCATAATCATGATTCAAAATTTGAAGTTTGTTGGCTCTCAAAGTGGCATCAGCGGAATATTGTTCCAATAGTTGTCCGTTGTCGCTCGTAATAGGGGAAACTGTTAGGAATGAAAAGTTCAAACAAAATAGACGCTAGCATTACTTGAGTTGTCAAGTTTCAAGTGGGTATTAGAACTCTTAGACCAGAGCAACAGTTTCTTGGTTTTGCTGAGGACATGCAGCTGGAAGTACCAAAAATGTTAACATTGAGCTTCTTTGATGGAAACAAATGAAATTAAGATATTCCTACCAACAGACTTCTATGAAACGTTAGGAAATATATGACAAGATTGTTTACATCTGCAATATTTTGGTCTTTCTTACGCTAGAGGGAGATGGGCCAAATAGGGGAGAGTGGGGGAGGACAGTGGCACAACCTCAAGTTCGATGCCCCACAACGGTCTTTCAAAATTGGGGATCTTCGGTGTGGAGCCACGTATCAGGTCCGTGGGGCTATAGTCCCCCGCTGGGGGATGATGCTGTCTTGGGGTACTAGGTCAGTGGGGCTGTAGTCTCCCGCTGGGCATGATGCTGTGTTTGGGTAACAGGTTAGGGGGAAGGCTGCATACCTCCGCTTTGGGGGTGATGGGTATTACTTTAGATTAAGTGCATCCAAAAAGGGTGTTTTTTGTTTAATTATATGTTTTTTGGGGCGTAGATTACGAATCTGAAATCCATTTTTGGCGGTCGGCATCGGAAAACCGATTTTTATATATGCTGATTTTTATATATTTTCTAAGGTAAAATGCAAGTTAAATGTTGGCCCCAATATCCGTGGATTTATAGCGTTTTTAACTTAGCCTCGGTGACCCATATACTCTAGCAACCACGACATTGCAGGCAACCACGACATTGCAACCACGGTTAGGTTAGGTTAGGTTAGGTTTTTTCGCCGACTTTGCCGATTTTTGCCCGATTTTTTTTGATGAATTAGAGCCTCGGAGAAAAAAAATCGGTTTTCCGCTGCCGACCGCCAAAAACGGACTTCAGATTCTTTATCTACACCCCAAAAAACGTATAATTAAAAAACCACCCTTTTTTGGATGCGCTTAATCTAAAGTATTACCGGGTGATGCTGAGGGGAATACTGGGTGAGTGGTGCTGTAGTCTTCCTCTAGGGGGAATACAATATCTTCAAGTTTTTAGGGGCATGGTAGCGCAGGATTTCTTCACACGAACAAAATATAACAGTTAGCCCGGTAGCCATCCTTTGCGTTGCAATTTTGTAGAAAACGAAGTTCATCTGGGGGTGACACTGCTAATAATGAACGAATCGTATATAGGAATCAGCATATTACTGTTAGAACAATATTAATGACATAATGACAATAGATAGCAGCGTGGCCCAGTGATCACAGTTCACGTACCAATATTGGAGCAGTGAGGTGCAGGTTCGATCCCAGTTATGTGCGAGTTTCTGGTCACTATCGGCAAAGAGGCCGGACGGTTAAGCAAAGCAGAATTGGAGCATTGAGTTCTGGGTTCGAGACCGCAACAAGTTGTGTAGAATAGGCGACAGGTCTACGGCTCAATAAACGATGAAACAGCTATCTATTGTCATACCGGCCGCCAGGTCTAACCGTCTACGTAACGGCCCGTAACAGATGACAATAGCTGTTGTGTCACGTCAGGTCTACGTAACGGCCCGTAATGTGGTGGGGGTCTCTCCCTCCTCCGCCCCCCTCACCATCCCTACCCGAGGACGCCCCCCACAACCTCCACCCGCCCCCCAGGTGGCAGCGATGAACGGTCAGTATTCAACGATTCATTACTATCTATGTATTATGAATATACATGCCTAATATTCGGGGAATTTTAAATTATTGACCAACCATTGTAATTGTATTGAAATATATGAATGAAAATAAATAATACCAATTAAGGTTCATAAGCAGTGTGATATTTTGGTTCAAAATAACCTATGATTGCATTAAGGCGAAGATTATATTACGAGTAGAAATTCCTGATAATTTTGTGCATGGCAGGCCTATCAGACCGCCTCTACACCTTTTAGGCCTATTATTTCTTTCGTATAGCGAAGCAAACGCTTAGTAGTTGTGGCGACAGGCTATCCTTGCATCAGGATATGGAAATACTGCCTAGAAATATTATAAATAAGTGTATAAATATTATAAATTTGTGTATAAAAATTATAAATATGTGTATAACTATTATAGATATGTGTATAAATACTAAAAATATGCCTTTCATTTTATTTGTGTATTAATATTATAAATATGCTATTTGATTAAAGCGCCCCCCCTTCACAGGGAGCTCCGTGGTCGCCTACTTCGGCCGCTGGGGGGACGGTGGGTGCACCATCACCCACTTCACCCTCGACCTCCTGCACACCCACGCCTGGACCACGGGTGAGGGGGCGGGGAGAGGGGGCAGGGTGAGGGGGCGGGGTGAGGGAGACAGCATTCACCCAAATCGTATTGAATTTTGGTAGAATTTGAAATCAAAAAACAAAGAACGCGTTGAAACTTTTATTGTGGTTCCGCAAAGAGAATTGGTTCGCAAAACGAAGCCAGAAGGAAACGAGAAGCACGAAGCGCGATGAGGAGCTCGTGCACTGTAGTAGAATGTAAAATAGGTTCGCACATAAGTAAAAGTTCGAAAGTTGGAAGTCTAGAACACAATATTCAATTTCAGTTCAATTCCTCCACTTCTCACCAATTTCTCCACTTCTCACCATATATTGCCGGTGGCAACAGAACGTATAAGCAAGATTAGAAAGAAAATAGTGAAAACAGTAATAGGAGTGTTCGCTCGTACTTAAAGAGAGTTAAGCGCATGCAAGCATGCAAGTTAATTCACAGCACTAGGCATGTGACATAATCGGTTAACACCGAAGCTCCAAGGAGCCAATGACCCTATACGGGTTCAAAGCACTGGCGTAAAGCCGGTAAAGCAAGATCTTAAACGAGCGAAACACAGAAGTTCTAACATGCATTAAATTGAACAAAATAAAATGAAAACACACTCGGACAAACTCAAATTAAGGTATAGATAAGCAAGAGTTAACAAAATTGGTAATACTGTTTGAGCAAGAGGTCTTTTCTCGGGTAAGATTAAAGCAATAGTAATTAAGATAGAGCTAACGAGAGTCGACTTTGCCCTAACACGAGACAAACGATAAGCGTATAAACGTTAACAAATTAATTAGACAATAAATTTTAACAATCGCTAAGAATTTCACTAAATTTAAATGCATAATTATATTATAGATTATAATTATCTATTCATAACCCACAGTGGGGAGCAGCCTGGCCCCCCAGGAGGTGTACACCATCACGGCCCCCCACGCTCGCTCCCTGTCTGGGGGAGACGTGGTCCCCCAGAGCGTCGCCCTCAGAGTCACCGCTCACAACACGGCGGGGGCCTCACCCATCGCTGTCATCGTGGGTGAGTCAATAATACAATACAATTAATATATAATAAATAATCAAATTAATATATAATAATTAATAATAATAACTCGCACCCGGATATTTTTTGGCACAAGCAAAGCCATGCTGAAGTGTCGCCTTCGACAGCCACCAAGCGCTGCAATAAAAAGGTACAACAAAAAAAAAAATAATAAAAAGAGCTACGCAAGGCGCGAAATAATTTAATTCTCTCACCTCATGGCAACAACTGCCATCACTATGTTGGCTGCCATTCCTTAGTTTAGATTTTTGAGGTGCGACGACATTAATATTTTTCGGCAATTGATTGGCAGTTTTAATACAGTTACACTCCGGCAACTCGGTAAGCAAGACTTGCCGCTATACTCGCCAGCTAACATTCATCGTTGCTGCTCCTACAGATTATCGGAAAAAATGTAATAGTGGCGAACTCTCAGCGTACGAATTGTGCAATATTACACAAAATGTGCAATATGACATAGAATGTGCAATATGAATGCACGAAATGTGTAATATTAGTGAACGAAACCTAGAAGCCTTCTCACGGTGCTCTGGATTTCACTGAATATGCACTTGGGAATTAATCTATATAATTATAAATTAATAATTATAATGTATTAAATAATCAATATGTAATAGTGATTCATTACGATGCCATTTATAGTGTAGAATATTTATGTGTATTATCGATTTAATTTTAATTGTTAATTTAATTCTTGTTGTTAAATAAAAACTCTTCATTACCCACAGATGCTGGGGGTTGCCGGGTGTTGCCGCGGGGGTTAGGGGGGATGTTGTCACACTCCCCATCCTCCTCACCCCCCTCCGTCTTCCCCTCCCTCCCCTCAGCACTCGCTGCCCTCGCCGCCCTCCTGCTGCTGGTAGCTGCGGCTACCCTCGTCACTACCCTCGTCACTACCCTCGTCACTACCCTCGGCACTACCCTCGTCACTACTATCGTCATTACCCTACCCTCGTCACTACCCTCGGCACTACCCTCATCACGACTCTCATCACGACCCTCGTCACTACCCTCGCCATTATCCTCGTCGCTACCCTCGCCACTACCCTCGCCACAACCCGTCTTTTCTTACCTCTCCATTACGCCCTCACCCTCGTCGCTACTTTCATTATTATCCTCGTCACTACCCTCATTACTTCCCTGTTCACTACCTTCATCATTACCATCGTCGCCTACCTTCAGCACTACTTTCATAACTACCCTCATCACTACCTCATATCTACTTTCATCACAACCCTCGTAAATACCCTCGTCACTACCATCATAACTATCCTCATAACTACCTTCGTTCATACTCTCATCACTACCATCAGTAATAACTCTTCACAAGGCTCTTTGCTCGAAAAAAAAAAACAATCAGGAAAGAGTTGTGCTCACTAAAATCAACTTAGCAATTCAATTATAAGTTTAATGTAGATTGTAACCACTGGCATTCTGGTTGAGGCGAGTGTCACATCATTAAAAATTGCCTCGTGCCTTGAGATTTGGGATTAATAGAAAATATTAATAAATGTTGTAGAATTGAAAATTCGAATAAATGTAAGATAAAAACTGCAAGCAACAGCAGACGGCATACGATGCTAAGAATGCGTGCATGATTGGAAGCCGAAATTATGCAAAATTTAACAAAATCTGCAATTTTCCGAGATACAATAAATCTACGAACAGGCAATAAAAGGTACGATAACTACTGTATAACACCGCACATAGGAGATAATAAAAGGTACGACAGCCATGACGCAGCAAACAATATGAATATAAAACAAAAGGTACAAAAACTATAACCCCGCAAACAGTAGATTATAAAATGTACGACAACTTTAACCCCGCAAACAGTAGATTATAAAATGTACGACAACTATAACCCCCCGAAAAACAGGCACCGCGAGCTCAACGGCGGCAGCGGACGCTCAGAAGGCGCGTCTGGCAGCAGAGAGCTCCAGCCTGTATGCACCTTCGCGTAATTCTTCAGCGCTCTCAAAAATTCCAGGTACAAAAAACATAAAAGGTTATCAAATGAGTTTTAATTGAAGTTTACCAAAACATCGAAAAATTCCCTTGCTCCGAATAATATGGGTTTTTTAATTTCTCGGCGAGGTGCAATCACTCTAGGCCAAAATACGCCAGACAATGCCTGCACGAATAGCACTGGAGAGACAGCGGGGATCGAGAGTGTAACTGAGCCGTGCTCTATAATTGCAGAGAACGCTTCGGACATTTATCCGTACGCAACGTTCCGGATGGGCGTGGCGGGGAGTGACGATGAGGGCACAGCGAGCTACCAGACATACTAACAAAACTCGCTTAGGAATTCGTTTAACTTAAGTACACTTTGCGGGCTTAGTGCTCGTAGCGGCCAATTTTTCGTCTGTGATTGGTGGGTTCAGTTTGAGAAGTAGTAAGTGATTGGCTGACTGAGTTACGAACTTGGAACTATTTCCGATAGTGCGGCCTCTAATAATGAGTGCTTTTCATGTCAATTTCAAGCAAAACCAGTTGCAGGCCAAGCCAGTTAGCTGCGAGACATAGCGCTATTCAACGCAAAAAATTAAAATCTACAGCTTTCAAACTCAAAGATAATTAGCGGTATTCTGTACATTTTACTTACCTCGTGGTTGTAAACCGGGGTTTCGCACAAAAGTGAGATTTTGTTCGATTTTTCTAGCTCAAATTTCAGTAAGTGATTATAAATTTATTCTTGGGATTCGGTGAGACTCTCCGTTTCTTCATTCTAAACTGAAGTTAAGCGGCATGCAATTGTCTTAATATGTTGGTAAAATTTCCCTTATTGTAATTTCAGTGCAGATTTTACAACTTTTAGAGAGATTTTAAAAACTTATGCCAGATCGAAATGAATTCTTTTACCACATACTAAAAAAGTTTTCCCCGTATGTATAAAGATACCAATGCCCTTGAACTACAATTTATTTTTAACACATCTTTTGGTTCTGATGTTGATATATTGCAACATTTACAGCAATTTTTTTTATTTGTAGCACTGAGTCGAACCAGCAACTAGACAGCACCCTCGAGAGTCATGCTGTGCTGCATGCTCCTGAGCAGCACGCTTATCAGCACCACAAGCAGCAACAAAC